GATATTGAGAGGAGAGACAGACGAAGAGGCGATTGATCAGCTCCAGAAGGAACGGGATATGCTGGATCACAGCATGGCTGGTATGGCCGCTTTCTCGCCTTCTAAACCTGATTTCGCTGGAGCTGGGAGCCGTATCATCGCACGTCCAAGTGACCCTCCTCCAGAAGCACCTGGAATGCTCCGTATTTCCAACGGCGGCGGAATGTTGTCTGAGAGTTTGAGGAGCGACTTTTCGATCAATGATTTCCCCAGTCCACCCGGCTCACTCTCCAACCGATCGACAGGGGAGACGACACCTCCCGACACAACCACCGCCGCTACCACTGTCGATACACTGCTCTCTCAAATGAAGCCAAGTCCCAGTACCAATCAATCGGTGTCACCAATCCCCACGGAGGTTGTGGAAGATGTTCAATTCGCCATGGTCAGGCCCAGAATCCCTGCTTCTTACCAACGAAGGCGGGCGAGCTTCCCCTCAGTAGTACGAGAGAGCGCCACTTCGAGCAATGATGGGATGTTCAGGATTATTTCTGCCTATGCGGAATCGGAAGATGATCTTGGTGGGAAACGAGTTCGAATGAGCAGTGCCAATAATCGACTGGATGTCACTTCGTTCATCGGAGGTAATTAACGCCATTTGTCTGTCTAGGATGCATTATTCATGTTTTTTTTTTGTAGAGCTTACTACGCCACAAGTCGCTGGAGGCTTCCCTCCTCGGGACCTCTTCCAAGGAAGAAACGATTCTGTCGACTATAGACTCTCGCCTCTGCCAGAAGATACCACTCCGCGAGGCTCGGCTGAAATAATCGACATGAGACTCAAGACACCCAGTATCGTACCTGCCATCGCCATCAGTACCAGTGAAACAGCTAGTGTCGAAACGGGCAGGACGAGGAAAGTCTCCTTTGCTCCGGCATCCTACGAGCCAGTCAGCCGTCCCAAACTCCGGATCCCTCCAGCTGCACCTGCGAACACGCTCCCATCCAGCCCTCGTCCAGGTGGTGGCAGCCCATCTGCAAGTCCCAAGCCGTTTGGTAACTTTAAACCGGCAACCCCCTCGCCCTTGACCAAGACGAGTTTTGGACCGAGTGGCGTGCCCAATGCAACAGTTCCCCTCCGGAGAGCTGGTTCGGCCAGAGCATATGTTGGCGGCGGTAATTCAAGGCCAGTCATAACCGGACCGTTCCCACTGCGAAGTGCAGAGAATACCGAGAACGATTACACCGTTCCTCGAAGGGCTCCATTGGTTAGGACCCAACGATTCCTCTAGAGAATAAAATGCATTCTACCCTGTGGACTCGTTAGTAGTATTGCTTGGTTGTTTCAATATCCTCTTTTGGGCTGTGATAGTCCTAATTCCTCTCCTTTGGCCTATTAATTCGTTGTACTATTACTGTTGTTATTATTACCGTGATCACGTGACAACACGTTTAAAACCGGTTAACATGGCTGTGGAGAATACACCTGGTCTCTACCACCTTGACAATTAATCCCGACGTGATGGCTTTCGTACCTACTCTAGAATCAATTCCTCCTAACAATGCAACTTACCGCATGAAGCTGGCCCCTCAGACGTTGGCCCGTGTCAACCACACTCCGTTGAATCCTATTAGCTTTCTGTTGAGGGCAGCTATCATTTATCCCGATGAAATTGCTCTTGTGCATCCGAATGTTGCATATCCGGTCGTGTATACATATAGGATCTGGTTCGTATATGGGCTACACGATGCTAACTGTTTAACGTGGAAGTTTCCGTGACCGACAGGGCACAAAGAATTCAGAACCTTGCATACGCCCTGATCAAGGCAGGCATTCGTCCTGGTGACAGAGTAGCTATCTTGGCTCCAAATTGGTATGTTATTTCATGATAACTTTGTGAACGGTCTAAGCAGTCTTCAAGCCCACTCATCGCTGGTAGAGCGCTTTCGTTTTGAGTTCAACCGACCTCTCACAGGAATTCCTTTAGACGCGCATAACGGAGTGCTGGCTGCCCGAGGGGTCTTAGTCTGTATCAAGTGGGTTGACACACAGCCTCTGGCGTAGTATTCACATGCTGTTCTAGCACGCGTCTTCTCAAATCTGATATAGAGTACATCATCAACCATTCGGGGACAAAGCTCATACTTGTTGACCATGAATACGCACCACTTGTCAAAGACTGTCAGGTTCCTACTATTATTTCCAAGGATACAGGGCGAGCAGGGGATCCGTATGAGGAGTTTCTCAGTGGAGGGCGTAGGTTCTCCCAGGAGAAAGGTTGGGCAGGCCTGGATCAAGAGTGGGATGAATGTGCGAATGCAACCCTCAACTACACGTGATTATACGTTTATTTTCGACCAAAATGCCTCTTCTGACTTTCTTCAAGCTCGGGAACTACTGGAAGGGTAACTAGAACACATCCAGTTGTATGCCAGACTGAAATTGAATTGACAGCCGAAAGGGGTGATGTCGACATTACGAGGTATATCGGTAGATGAGAACGAGACTATTCCCTGACAAACGGCCAGGATCCTACCTTGCGGCCATATCGAATGCTTACGAGTCCAGGTGATTAGTACCTAGTGGCGAACGACTCATTCTTATTCTATTTATTAGGCTGACAAGGCAATCAGCATATCTTTGGTTCGTGTGATAAACTTAATTGCTTCTAAATTTGCTGATTAGACCACTCAGGGTACTTCCCATGTTCCACGCTTCTGTAAGTGATGGCCAGGACTTGTGAAACAAATGGATCTTTAGAATGAACCACAGGGATGGACCTACCCTTGGTCCTGCACATTTGCGATGGCGAGACAAGTATGTCAACAAATTGGAATCTCGTTACCGTCTAACTTGACCCCAAGATAACCATCCGAACCGTCGACATTCCGGCGATTTGGTCTCATTTCCTAAACTCTGGAGTAACCCATTATTGTGGAGCTCCTACAGTCCAAGTTCGTAAGTTCTACATTCTCAGTTTAAGCGGGTTCATAGTTCTCGAAGATATCCATCGTAAACTATGAGAAGGCACAGCGACTTCCTCAGCCTATCTCTGCGGTAGTTGCAGGTGCTGCTCCAACGGCAAGTCTTATAGGTGAACTGGAGAAGCTCAACTTTCAGGTTCACCATGTCTATGGGTTGACGGAGACGTATGGCCCCTTTACAAGAAACTACGAGCGATCAGAGTATGCGACCCTTCCTTTAGAAGAAAGAGCTAGGATCATAGCACGCCAGGGTCATTCCTTCGCTCAAGCCGATGAGGTCCGCGTGGTACAAATTGATGAGGATGGAAAGAGGAAACCCGGCCTACTCGATACCAGGGACATGCAACCCGGAGAGGTTGTGACGAGAGGAAATATTGTGATGAAAGAGGTATCTCCCGAAAATGTGTTGATATGCTTTATTCTGACCACTTTCAGTACTTTAGAGATCCAAAGGCGACAGAAGAAGCTTTTCGGGGAGGATATTTTGCATCTGGTGATATTGCAATAAGGTATCCAGATGGCAGTATCTCCATTCAGGATCGTTCCAAGGATATTATCATTAGTGGAGGAGAGGTCAGACTTTTGAGACGACTCGTTATGCATATATTAATTCACAATAGAATGCGTCAAGCCTGGCGATTGAACAAGAGCTATCAGCGCACTCAGACGTTTTAGAGGTCACGGTGGTTGCGAGGAAGCATGAGAAATGGGGAGAAAGGGCGAGTCTTGAACGCTTCGTTGGGTGAAATACTAATGCTATGAACAGCCTATGGCATGGGTAATTTTGCGCGAAGGAAGTCACGAAAAATGGAAAGGGAAGGAAGCAGAGTTTGAAGCAGAGCTCATAGCATTTGCAAAGACGAAGCTACCTGGTTTTGCATGTCCCGAGTGGGTTTACATAGTAAAGGAATTACCCAAAACCTCGTAAGTGAGAAAATTATTTCTTCTAGGGCACTCTCAGACTCTCTTCAGGACAGGAAAGATTCAGAAACACGTCTTACGCCAAAGGGTAGCCAAGCTTTAGAGTTGAAACGATGAATATATGTGGAATTGTTATAACAAATATATGTTACGGAAAGTCACCGAGAGGACAAACGACCATGCAGTAGCAGTCACCTGCATGATATACGATTGCTCTTTAGATAGATTTGGGTTCCAATGTCATGAGACGGAAATTACCGTACCGACGATCACATAGATATACCTTATCCTGAGACCGGCCGAGTACCAAAAGATCTTCTTGAATGCCAGAGCTTCCTTCCCTTTCATCCTCACCATCACTCAGCAATCCAGACTTTGTGTTCCCCTTATTACTTGACAGCAGGCCTGCCGGGTTAGTGCTTCGGCGTTTATAGGCATGGCTGTATTCGACTCCAGTGGTAGGTGAGCTTGAGAAAGAGGCTGATCCAGGGATGATACGAGGTTTTTCGTTTTCGATGGGTTCACCCGTTCGCCAGACAAAGGGGCTTCTGCGGTTAAACGAGCCCGCTGGAGGGTCGAAATATGGATAGACTGTGCGACAGCCATCACCAGGTGCCATGATTGCGTCTCCTATATCCATTGCCTCCATCCCCCCTTGGCGGAACGCCACGATCACGATCTTGCCATCCTTAACTTCAAACGCCTCTAACCTTTTAACATCTCCCAATTTGTTGAGGGCAAATTTTGCTTGAAGGGTATCGTCAGATGTCCAATGTAACCGCCCTTTGAGAACGGATCGTCCACGACCGTCCACGATACTTGTACTGTGGCCGCCCCGTGAACAATAAAATAATGCTGGTGGGCCAAATCGTTTTTCTTGCGTTAATAATGATACAGGATCCAGTAATGGATTGACACCGTCTGGCCTCAGTGGTCCCCTGATTGTTATAGGTAAAGCAAGGCCAGGCGGTGGGGGTCGGAAAGGAGAGGTGGAGTCAATGCTTTGACTTTGCAACGTTTGTAGCGAGATATATTCGTCCTCATTTTCACGCCTGACGGGTAGATCTAGAGGTAGGAAACCGTCGTTAAACCAAGATTGCATCAAGGAAGAAGGCCAAGGTCCTGATGCATAATAGTTAGCAAAGTTAAGGAATTGAGGAAATGCATACCTCTGACGACACCCTTTGGATCCTTGTAGAACCATTGGACGTCGTGTAAATGAGCGTTGAAATCTTCAGGCGTCTCCGAAGTTTCCGTGCCTTGAGTGGTGTCTCTTTCTTCGGGCTCATAGATCTTTTTGTATTCTTTGACGGCCCTATAGGAAGGAGGAATTATGCATTCTTCAGCAAGTGTAGCAAGCGGGAAGTTTGGCGCAAAGGAAAGCTGTTGGAAGGTGGTATATGGGCCCATAGCCATAAGTGCGGCAGTGGCAAGTTCATCTGGGTGCGGTGTTGTTGGAGGACCGAGTTGAGGAAGGGAATCAATCTCCGCCGAAGGTTGTGGCCCACCGTTAGCCGTGCCAACAAGTGGGATAGGGGAGGATGGCTGCGGCTCTCTTCCGTTAAACACCGTGGCCCTATTTTCTGCTCGTACAACTTGTCCAGCATTATCAAAGCTACTTGATCCTTCCCGCATGTTCTCTGAAGGGGCAATTATGGCGGTGATCATGACATCCTCATCCGCGGCCATTGGCTCTGCAT